TTTTTTTTTTTTTAGCTTAACTGACACAATGACAGACTTTCAAAAGAACCTCCGTCAGGACATGATTTCTCAGCTGCATAATTTTGCTGCTGTTGGAGACGCAGCCAAACTGAAAGCATTGCTCAGTCATTCTCCGTCACTTATCAATGCAGCTGCAGATAACGGCTGGACAGCCCTCATGTATGGTGCCCGAAACGGACACCTTGAAGTCGTGCAGATTCTTCTTGAAGAAGGGTAAGCTGTTTAGTAGTTAGCATTGCAGAACTTGAATCTGAAGCCCTTTCTCACTGTTTCAGCTTGATCTCAAAAAAGTAAGTTTACCTGACAGATAGTGGCAGAATTTTCAGGGTTAAAACTGAGGAAAATAAATATGCTCTGTGCCTGTTCATGACTGGATTCTGCTATTGCATCGTGCTTTCCATCTTTGCTAAGAAACTCTTAAAAAGTTATGACCATCTCTAAAATTATTCCTTTTACCTTGAAAGACAGATTGTCACTCCTCCCAGGAGACCAACAGAATAGAATGACGTGTGTATCCCATTCCAGCCAATTTGGTATATTTGATTATTCCATGTAGACTTTTTCCTCTGAACTTTATTTGTACTCCAGTTGCATCTGCCCTACAGTGCAGAATGTTTGCTGGCATACTGGCTGTTAAGTAGTGCATGACACACACACCTGTACCAAAGTTACTGATTAAATTTATTAGTTTATTTTGGGGACAATTTACGTCCTCCTTCATCTCGCAGCTCTCACATTATTTTCTTCAGTGAATATGACACCAAGCACATTTGTTGCTTGACAAAAACTTGCTGTATTTATTGTCTTCAAGTGAACAGTTGCAGTTCTAGTTTTTCAAGACATTTCATGAAAGGAAAGAATGCTTCAACATTCTCCTTGAGACCCCAAAGAGGATTCTTCTGCAGATGGAATAAGGTCTGGATCCAAATATTTCAAAAGGAAGGTTGAGAGCCACCTGTTGCAGTTCAACTGAGCCCTACATTAATCAAGCCCAGTCTGTCACTTTCTACACGCCTAGTTACAGATGCAAGCAAGTTTATCTTATTCTGTGGTTATGACTAATCTCAGACACAGCATGCCACAGCCTCCAGAGATCATCCCACCCTTTTTTTTTTTCCCCAGTCTTACTCAGATGCTGTGCCCTCTGCTGGGCCTCATTATGAAGTGTCAGGTGAACTGCTGTTTTCTGCTCTAAACAGTAAATTCCGGCATGTAGAGGAGTGTGTCGGTGTCAGATTTTGTGCATTGAAATCATCAGTGTATTGAGGAATTTTTTGAGATGTGGGGGAACTTACCAGTCTAGTAAATAGGATAACAGTTTTTAAGTTTGCTTACAGTTAAAAAAAAAGGAATATCCCTCTGTAAATGTCTTTTTTAGGGCCATGCACTTAGGCAATTGGATGTAGTTCCTGAGGTGATAACTGTAGCCTCGTTGGTCTCTTTTTAGTTAATGCTTAGTCATAATACTCACATGGACAGATACAAATGCTGGCTATATAAACATGAATATATATGAAGGTAGTGTGACATAACATTCCACAGACTAATCCTAGAAAGCTAGTCAATTGGGTTTGTTTTTTTTTAATATTCATCAATATTTGAGAAAAGCTAAAGGAAATGTTTGTAGACTGAAAAAAAAATATTAGTGATCTAAATAAAGAGTTTAGCCCACTGTTGTGGACACTGAATAGCAGCCTGGTCACCATATGCATGTACCTGAGCAGATAGAAGGGGGAAGACAAAATCAGAATAAAATTCAGTGGCTGAGAGGTCAGAAATTAAGTAGAAAATTGGGCAAGATTTTGCCTAAAGGATATTTAATTTTTAAAGATAAATGGGCAACAGTAATTTCTTTAGCACCAAAAAACTTGTAAATTACATTTTGAATGCTTTCTAAAATATACTTAAACTCCCTCAAAAACTACTGAGGTTAATGTAAAATCTCAAGTCAATAGTCTCACCTATGGTACAGTTACGTGTATGTCAGCAGCATGAATATACTGGCATCTTCTGGTTTTAAAAACTGATGAGTCTGGCCTCACGTCTGATGTATAATTTGTATTTTTCAGTGAAATTTATGTTTTACTTATCCACTTGAGTGAAAATTAACAAAAAATAAAAGTGCATTGTTTTTGACTTCTCCATCAACTCCACCTATTTCAGATATTTTTTTGATCGATACTTAAATATATATCATGAGGCCATGTTTCCTCATCTGTGTCATTTTGCAGACAATTTGGTAATGAAGAGATCCCAGCACTGCAGTTGTAAGGGTGCTTACTTCTCTCAATAAGCAGAGGATTAATTCTTGATTCTTATTTAATGGTAAATATTGTATCACAAATGTTTTGATGCTGCTCTCAGTAACTTCTAGAAAGTAATGCCAGTTAAACTGCTTTTTTATTATCACTGGTTGTTCAGAAGAGATCTGTAGCCTGGGTTTTAAAATTCTATCTGTAAATAGTCTTTTTTGTTGGTTTTTTTTTTTCATTATACAATGTGTGGGATTTTAATTAATTCATTGCTCTAGTACTGTGTGAACCCTTGTAAGTGATTCATCTGGAGTGAGTCAACAAAAATGTGGAATCCGGCCTTAACAATGAAAATGAAGTATAATTACTTTCCTTTGCCATAATGCTAAGTATTTAGCCTGAAGAGTGCCCCAGTATAGACACTATCTAAAAGTAATTGCATCATAATAGTATCAAATGTACATGCTGTAAATAAGAAAAATGCAGGACCAGAACTCTTCCTATGGTTGCTTCTTACTTCTTTCTCTTCCTCTAGGTGTGACAGGTCCATCATTAATAAATCAAGGCAAACAGCTCTGGACATTGCTAAGTTTTGGGGGTACAAGCATATAGCTAATTTTTTGGCTAATGTGAAGGATGGGCAGAAGCCTAATTTTCTGTCAAACGAAGTGAAGGAATATGAAAATTACTTTGGCTTGACACTTCTGGACAGAAGAAGTGATAAAAGAACAGATTCCAATTGGCTAAGCAAAAAGCAAAGTCATCCAGCTACAGTATACATCCTTTTCTCAAATCTAAGTCCTTTGGTTACTTTAGGTGGGGGAACAGAGAGCTCCCAGCAGCCAGAAGTAAAGCTTTGCAGGCTGCACCACAAGGATGTGGAGCAATGCATGAACCAGACTGAGGAAGGCACCTTGATTTTTCTGGGAGTTGAACTTCAGTTCCACATGAACCTGCTGGCTGCTTGCAATGGAGAAGTTCTACAAGAAGGTGAAGAGGATGGCTTAGTTGCTTGGTTTGCTCTTAGTGTAGATTCTACTTCTGCTGAGAAATTTAAACAGAAGCATGAGGATTGTTACTTTCTTCACCCACCAATGCCAGCTCTACTGCAACTACCTGAAAAAGAAGCTGGTAAGATGCATAAAATGCAGCCATTACCAAATGTGTAATCAGAAAGACACACGTTGGGATTCACTGAGGTATAGCGCAAGGACAATCCACTGCAAAGATATCAGGTACTTTCAGTGGCTTTAGAAATATTTTAATTTTAAAAGCCATTAGTCATTTTGTGAAGAATTTTGTATATAGGAACATGTGCAGTTGCAAAGGGCTAACATCTGCAATAGCAAATAGTGGACCATAAAATCTATTGAACATTTTCATTTAACAAATGGTACTACTTAGATATTAATACATGTGCATCAATGTTCTAAAATGAAGAAAAAGAAATCTGTCATTACTGAATTTTCACTACAAGAAATGAAACCAAGTCCTTAATAGGAGCATGTCTGAGAAGGAAACAGTGTGAGCACGTGTTGGAATGTCAGGATCCTGAAGTGAATGAATATCATTATAGACATGCTGTTAACAACTGCTGTCATAACAACTTAGCTTTTACAGAAGGATAAATGGCAAGCTTGACTTACACCTGAAGGTTAAATGGAACATTACATTCGCAACAACTTTAGTGGCCCAGTCGTCTGGAAAAGGTGTGATAGGTAATTGTGGCATTGCCCAGACAAAGTAGCTTCTGTGAGAAACAGGGTATGTTGATAGGAATTAATTTCTTTCTGAACACATAAATTGATCTGTAGCTACATAGTATTGTGTTCCATTGCAGGTGTTGCACTGCGAAGAAAAAGATCCATATAACTTGGATTACTCGACTTCTAGTAAATTAGAATTCAAATCATAGAATTACTTTGATTTTTTTTTTTATGTTAAACTTTAGTACTGGCTTTTTCTACACTGTTCAAAACTTCCATGAATTGGTGTATGATTTGTTGTATTTTTGATATGTTCTTTTAAAGGAGTCGTAGCCCAGGCTAGATCTGTTCTAGCATGGCACAACCGCTACCGTTTCTGCCCAACGTGTGGGAGTGCAACCAAGACTGAAGAAGCGGGTTACAAGAAAACTTGCTTAAAAGAAGATTGTCCAAGTCTACAAGGCGTTCACAACACATCGTATCCAAGAGTTGGTGAGAATATTGTAGGATAAACTTGGTCAAAGGTGGCTTTTTTGTACTGTTGTATATATGTAGATCAGTTTAGGTTTAGTTATTTCAGCTGCTTGCTTCTGTCCTGGGTCTTAACATGTTTGTGTCTCCCCCGAGTATGTGTGTCTTGGCTCTATTTAGGATTAAGTACTTCAGGCTTCTCTTTCTTGCATAGTCTGTCACGAAGACAGACTGTTGCAATGAGCTAATGCCATTAGAAGTTCCAACAAGAGAAATGAGATATTAACAATACGATGGGTCACATTTTACCTCCTTTTTTCCTGAATATTGCTTTCTCACCTTCTGCAAGTCATCTGAGTTTGAAATAGCTCTGTGTAAATTTGGTCCTGTATCAAATTTCTTATACAGTGCTTATTTTCCTTTAGTGCCACTTTGACTGTATTAGCCATCCTCACTGGTTTTCACTATTCATCATTAGTCGAAAACTGCCTATTTCTAATCAGAACACAAGCTTGTATAGACAGTAGTCTTTACCTGATCATATGTTGCAAAGGAAGTGTATTGTGTTACTGACGGGGAAACAAGGAAGGAAGAAAAAGTAACTATTTCTTTCCTGATGTCCTGGTTTGCACTGAACAGAACCAATTCTGTTCAGTGATTTTACTTTTCAGCTCAGCCTCCTCTGAAAAGCTGCACTTTCTAAATTAAGCACCATGTTTTTGTGGACAGTGCCTGCTACTAGAAGTGATAACACCTGACATTTACAGTCACTGCCTGAGACTGCTATGCAGAAAGGCTCTTGTCTATATTTATTCCTATGGTGACCGAGGTCACTGCTGGCTCTTGTGTGCCACGTTGGTGGTGCCAGGAAGTAAAAGCGGTCACAAGGTAGTAAAAGGTTGCACCTCCAGTGAGTAACAAGTAGGACAGGTGTCCAACAAGAATATTGCAATCAATATACATCATATTTGAAATAAAGCTGAAGGATCACGGGGGTTAATCTCTCTTCCTCAATGGCTGGCATCCAAGGAGGACTCCGTCTGATCTTCTGCCTTTGATCCAGATCCTGAGTTCCTAAATCCAGCTCCCATATCCAGCTCCCCTCTGCCGCTGAGCCTGGGGCTTCCCTGGTGCTGCCTGCTCTGCAGCATCAGGCATTGCTATTGAAAGAGTCACATGTTTGTATGTATATGTATGTAGGTCATTTTTTCCCTCTGCCAGCGTGCAATGGCTAGCATAGCCCTAACCCTCAATCATTTGCTGACTCTTTGATCTTCTTCTTCCCCTACCCTTTCTTGTCTTCTGTTCTTGAAGCTCTGGATGTTGTTTGTCATATTTCTGAATTTCATGTTCTTTTAGATGCTTTAGATATAGCTTTGTAGTAATTAAAGCAGTTCTGCCATATTCTTCTATCTTATTGACTATAGTGAAGATTGCTAAAATACTACTCACTGTTTTTTTTAAGGTCTCTAGCACAACAGACTTAGAGAAGGAATGGGGTTTTATAGGAAAGACTGATGAATCAGCATTTTCTACTGGTGCCTTTCTCTAAAGAATGTTTACGAACAGCAACACTGCATATTCTACAGTGTGCCGTGTGGCAGGTGTCTTTGAGCAGGACGGCAGTCTTTCTGATAATTGTTTATAGTGGTTCCTGATTCAAGCCTTTTCCTACAGAGAACATACTGATGTTTTGGCCTGAAAAAAAAGCCATGAAAAATCATAGCAAGAGAAAAATACACAAAAACATAGTTAACAATTAAAAAAGGGGAAGACATCATAAGTGAACAGTGTGCAAAGTCATGACAAAAAAGAGTAATACCAATAGGAGGAAAAAAAAAGATACAGAACATGACCCAAGTGAGAAAGTAGGTGAAAGTGCAACATTGAATGAGAGATTGAAAACAACAGTCAACCAAGTCCAAAGTTTAGTCGGTATTTACATTGTAACTAGAGTATCTGGCTATTCTTTGGTATTTCAGTTAAAACTACCATCGTCAGACCTGTGTGCGTAGAGGTGATAGTAAATTGGTTTTGCTGCAGAAATTATTTCTAGCTGCAGGATGCTTAGTGAGGGTAATATTGCAGATGCTCTTACAATATGCTTTGGTTTCAAGTAATTTATGTCCTGCCTTTCAAGCTTGACTAGTATACTGCTTCTACTAAGCATGTATGTTGCAAAACAAAATGAACAAATACCTTGCAGGGAAAAAAAGAAAAAAAACAAAATGAAATAAAATAATAACTTGCTCTAAGCATCTACACAACTGATTTCAATCAGTTAAAGGTTATCTTATTTGTATTTACGTGCATTGGTATAAAGCAGTCTGAAATTCATTACTGTTTTTAAGTCCCTCAAATGTTGAAATATGTTCCTTTCGTGCCCCTACAGATCCTGTTGTGATAATGCAAGTCATCCATCCAGATGGGAACCATTGCCTTTTAGGTAGGCAGAAGAGGTTTCCCCCAGGAATGTTTACGTGTCTTGCTGGATTTGTGGAACCTGGTCAGTAATTTTGGTTTTTCTCACATATCAGCATTGTACTTTGAAAATAATATAAAAATATGTTCAGTGTTATGTCAGATAAATGTTTTTGCTGTGTACTTTCAAGCAGCTGATTTATAAAAAAGGCAAAAAGCAATTTGATTAAACATGATTTAAAAAATAGTTTTCTCATTATGCACTCTTAAATCATATATTTAAGTGAAAAAAACATTTTAAAACACACTTAAGGCTCTTTCTTTAATCGTAATTGGCAAGAGATTTTAACGTAGGAAGAAAAAGTATAGCTTAAAGTTGGCATGAAGTTGAGCATAGACTTACATGCTTAGGGCCTGACATTATATGGAAGATAAGCAGAATATATAATATTTTGAAAGAAAAGTCAAGAGGTATTTTGCTAGATGTGTTCAGCCATAATATCTGGAATTAGTAGCTATTAAAAGCTGCAGAACAATTTGTAAGACATTCTTAATATTGTGAATACAGTGAAATTATAGTGTTTAACTGTATTCAATAACTGGAGCTGAAATACGGTGATGGCATGAATAAGGTCGTTCAGGTATCATTTGAAAAGAGTCAAGGTGTTTATTTCTTCACTCTTTATTCTGCCATCCTTATTACTTTCTGGTACTGAATTCACATATATACGCTGAAATTTAACAGTAGCTGATCTTATCATCACCTAATCATCTGAATGTAGCTGGACTAAAATTTCTATCTCTGATGCATGACCTGTCTGCTTTCAGGAACGTGTAATCAGTGGTTAAAATACAGTACATGTGTGCATATTAATACTATGACCATGAATGTTCCACATACACATCCAGCAGTTTTCTGTGAATATGGAAGTAAAGCTCTCCATTGCAGTATAGTTTTTGAGAATTGTCTTCTGCATTAAGACAATGAAGAATGAGTCAAGCAGAGTGGATAATACAGTGCAGAAATGCATGCAAGTCTTCTTAAGTCTCTATTTTGTTACTATTGTAAATTTAAATATTGATTTTCAAGTTCTGTTATGTGCTGTTACAGTCATACAGGAAATCTAAAAGTTAACATAATGCTATTTAAAAATGAACACATTGGTATTTCAAAAGTAGTTACAGGAACAATTATTTCCCGCCCAATTTTTGCCAGTTTAGGTGTGGTAAAAATAGTTTGCGTGTATGATAAACTACCAATTCAGGAAATAAATACTAGGATGGAGAAATTTCCATACTTCCAAAAATTGTCATATTTTCAAAATTTCATTTTGCTTCGGTAGCTAGTTTTACCTTGTCAGACTTCTGCATCTTGCACTTAAGGTCTGTGCCCTCATCTGTGAACTAGATCTCTATAGATAATTGTCTTTGGGAGTTTCAAATCTTTTGAGTCAGTTTAAAGCACAGGATGCAATCGTTGCTTGAACATTTTCAGCAGCTGCTTGTCCTTTGCCCTTTTGGATTAGGTGAAACAATAGAAGATGCTGTTCGAAGAGAAGTAGAAGAAGAGGCTGGAGTCAAAGTTGGCCATGTTCAGTATGTCTCTTGTCAGCCATGGCCAATGCCCTCCTCCCTAATGATTGGCTGCTTAGCGGTTGCAGTGTCTACAGAAATTAAAGTTGACAAGAATGAAATAGAGGATGCCCGCTGGTTCACTAGAGAACAGGTGAAGTTCAATTTAATTTCCTTCTTGTATTGATTAGTCTGTGACTGTATTGGTTCTGGCATACAATGGATATTTGCTTTTTACAGAAAGTTGAATGTGCAAGTATACTGTCACGTATACTTATCATACTACAGTTGCATTATGTTGTAAATGTAGATTGCACACAACTAGAGAACGCAGATATTCACAGTAATTCTGGGGTTATTGCAAGCCCATTTCATGACATTTTTGTTAGTTAGGTCTTCACCTTTTTGTTTTGGGAGATATCCAAGTTACTATTGTTTTAACCCACTTTGTTAGAAAGCCTGTTCTTTTCATTTTGGCATAAGTAGTATTTAATACATCATAAAAATATCGTCAGAGTTTCTTCAAACAGGCATGCTACCAGATGTGCTAGGAGGGGCAAGGCTTAGGAAAAAACTATGGGAATTAATTGACCATCTTTTTCCATGCAGTACGATTTTAATACTCTCATATTGGATGTAGTTTACAATACAATAATAGGAAATTCTACACTTAGCTTTCATAAGTATTTAAAATATAGCCAAGTAAAAGAGGTAAAAAAGTCTTTCACAGAAAGAGACATATAAATTAATGCATGGAAAAAGGAAAGATTGCTTACACAGCATAGTCTTCAGAGGTTTTTCTACAGGCTGCTTAAGAGCTAAACTTTTGATAGCAGTGTACTTCTGTCTAGCAGTTGCAAGTGTTTTGACTCTCTAAATCATCTTGAAGGTAAAGTTAGTTACCTGCAATCTCAGTGTATTCCTGACAACAGAGAGCATTATTTTAAATGAATGTCAGTTTTGAATACAGCTAGTCACATACAGAGTGGTCTAGAGTTGGAAATAAATGTGCTTCAGAAATATACTAAACTAAAAGTGTGCTCTAGAAAACTAACAAAACATATTTCCTTCTGTGCTACATGCAGAAAGAAACAAAAGAATTTACGAAACAGGTAGAGCAGCATCTGGTGGTCCCTGCCAAAAAAAGACTTCAGGAGAACCTTAAATACTACATTAACAGTCAGTCTCCACAGTTGTACTAGAAAAAGGATATCCTTTGGGGCGCATTTGAGCTCAAAAATGTCGAAATTCACACAGAATCCTGTACATTTTTTCTCTGTCATAGAATCTGGTAGCGTCTCTTCAATAGCTGTAGTAATGATAGACTGATGTATCATCATAGTAAGATAATTTCTGCATTAATGCAATTCTAGATTCCATATAATTTATAATACTCTCTTCTAAAGAAAAAAATCTGTCTTTATTGCAGGTTGTGGAAGTTCTCATTAAAGGAAATCAGCGCTCTTTCTTTGTACCACCAAGTCGAGCTATTGCGCACCAGTTGATAAAACATTGGATTGGAATGAATGCTAATCTTTAATTCCAATAATTAATTTATTTCAGTTAAATTACTTCTTCTGGTGAATGCTAAACTATGAATAGAAAATATGAATAGAAATAATTGTTTATCTAATAAATATGCAGCCATATGAATATCTGAGCATTTCCTTTGGTTCCTGAGATAAACTACGCACACCTTTTCAAGATTTTCCATATGTGCGTTAGAAATGGACAAAAAAATGGTTATTATCGCAAGCAAGCAAGCAACAAATAGCTAAAATTGCTACCTTGTTGTGCACAGGCTGCTTTCTCATTTTGGAATCAAACTATTACGCTTTTTGCCGTTACGGTCTTAATGTTTGATTTCATCTTTTCTCTCCCCCACTGGAAGGAGTGACAGCATTACAAAGAGGCCTGACCTTGCCTGCTGTTTGTATTTACATCCTCCTATTTTGTCTTGTTTCTCTCTCATTTTTTCCTATCTCCATTCTTTTAAATTCTGCCTGGCACAAAAATCGACATTCAGTGCTGAAAGTCTTATCAACAGTGGGTATTTTCAAGCGAGTAGCATACCTAAATGGTAAGTTGTGCTTTGTATCTTTTACATTAATAGCCCTTTAAGCAGAGTATTTAGTTCTCCAATCTTATTTGGCCTGCACTTATCCGATTGTACGGAAGCCTGAATTTAAAGGTATAACACAATACTCTGTTTACAAAAAAGATACTGGAAAACCATTCCCAAAAACCTAAATGTTACATATTTTTATAAGATAATGATGTACTTATTGACCATAGGCAGTGAATCATTTTATTCTCTGACAATTAGAAATGTAACTGTAGAGTAACAGAGGGGAAAAGTAGATTAATTAAGCAAGAGATAATATCTCAAAATGTGTACAAAGTTATTTTATGGAAACTGCGACAATAAGAATGTTACTGCTATTAAGAAATTTATAGTTGAAAGAAATAGATTAACGCCAACTGTAAAACTGAGAAAGCAGTAATGTATTAAAATATTTACTTATGTGTATTTAATGATACTGTTCAGATTTGTGCCTTAACATATTGAGTATTGAAAAGAAAGTTAACTTAATATTCTTTCAAAATAGATTATAAATGCATACAGTTTGTATTATTTTCATTATGTAATGGTTCAGTAGTCTGTGATTATGCAGTCATTGCAGTAATATAAAATGTGCAAATGACCTAAAAGGAATACGAGGTCGTTGTAAATACTAACTAATCACATGGTGATTTGTTTATTCAGAGTAGTTTGAATATTTTTTTAATCACTGAATGATGTCACATTTGTTTCAAAATTGTCTGCAAACTCTAATCAGTAAAAATGTTTACAAATCCTAATAGCCCTTTTTTTCTATCTGGTGTCATCCTATGCTCAGCATTGTTTTGGTTTTTTTTAAGACAGTGTATATCAAACTTAAAACTATGAAACATTTTTGACAGATTTTGACAAGTTGACAACTCATTACATTGCTTCATTCTCTCCCTTGCTTCATCTGCACCGTCAAATGAAGAAAATAGGGTTATCTGTTGCACTATATGAAAGTGAGAAGGAAGCAATACACTGCTTCCCTTAAAAATTGCTTTTACAGAGGTGGTAGCATGAAGAATTGTTATGAACTACAGCTACAAGCAGGAACGCGTGTTATCAGATGAATTAATCTTTTTAAAATGTTGTGGAACAGAAGAAAGCCTAGTTGTAGATTGGTCATGCAAGTAGAGTTGCAAGAAAAGGTATGTGAACCTTCTGGAATTTCATGGTATTCTGCATTAATTTGTCATAAAATGTGATCTAACCGTCATCTAAGTCAAGAGTATTGACAAGTAGAATGTGCCTAAAATAATAACACAAAACCAATTCTGATCCTCCATGTCTTTATTGAACACACTCAATCAACATTCAAAATGCTAGTGGAAAAAGTAAGTGAACGCTTGGAATGAATAACTGGTTGGCCTCCCCTTGGCAGCAATAACCTCAGCCAGGAGCTTGCTGTAGCTGGGTCAGACGTGCACATGGTTTGGGAGGGATTTTAGCCCGTTCTTCCTGGCAGAACTGCTTTAGTTCTGTCATTCTCTGGATGTCTCATGTATGTCTCTCTTCCAGTCATTCCACAGCATCTCTGTTGGACTGAGGTCTGGACTCTGATTTGGCCACTCCAAAAGGCAGGTTTTGTTTTTCTGAAGCCTTGTGGACTTGCTCTGGTGTTTTGGGTCTTTGTCCTGTTGCATCACTCAAGGTCCACAGAGTTTCAGCTGATGTACAGACATTCTCATATTATCCTGAATATTTTTTTTATACACTTGGGACTTCCCCTCAATGACTGCAAGCTGGCCAGGC